GGGGCATTGTTTACGGGAGGACGTCTACTGCACCGAGCTGGATAATCCCATTGTCATTCATCATCATGTGCCCATTTTGCATCCTGGCAATCCTTTTGTGCACAAGGTGCTTGACAAAAGGTCCAGCTTCCTGCACGAAGGCCTCAAACATTCGCTCCGGCGCGCGGTCCCGCTGGTGTTGAATCGTCTCGAGCACTTCTGGGCATCGATCGCGAAGGTATCGTTCGAACCCAGATCCAGAGCTCCACTTGGCCACCCCTGTGACCTTCCAGGTCGCCAGGTCGAACAGCTGAAGGTGTCCCTCCTGGGTCTCCAGCCCCAAGTTGGAAACGGTCACATCTGCCAGGCTTAGGCCCTTGCTGCTGAGCCACGCTACTATGCATGGCCGGTTTTTTTTGACACTCACACTCGGACGTAGCCTGGCAAGGTCTGCAGCAATACTGTCCTGGAAACCCATTAACTGACACGTCAAATCGGTTTCATTCGACGTGTTGCTGTCAAGAAGGGTGTGCAAAAGGGTTTAAGGGTTCTGAGATGGGCATGGACGATATTCCGCTTTATTTCGGTTTTGTAGGGCTAGTACAAGTATAAGATGGATTTGCTCTGGGTTTGATTTACGCATTATAGGGATATGCTTGGAATACAATATGGCTTTAATTGGGCTGTATACAGATATATATATATATATATACTATATGGGCTACTAAAATAGGGTTCGGAGTTGCTGAGTTGTAGCAACTATACTAACTAGTGAATGAATGAACGAATAAATGAATAAGGTAAGTCAGGATGTAATTCCGCAATTACACAAGTCAGCAATCAATGAATTCAGTGCTCGCTAACTCAATTGCTGCGATTCAATATTGTGGAGCACTTTGGGTTCTTATTCTGGGTCAAGACTTTGGGGCTACAATTCGGGGCAGCGAGGCATCTGACGAACATGCAACCAGAAGTGGCGGCTGCGATTGGTGATGCGAGCACTAATAACACTATGTAGTAGCTGCCAGCGACTGTCACTACCAATAATGACGCAGCAGTGCACACTCCCGGACGTACGCTGCATCTTCAATTCTTCCGAGAACACACTCTTCTTCTGCACAGCCAAAGGAGAGCAGAGCGCGCTCTACCCTCCCTGCGGTCTTCTGTTCTCTCTTTTCTTTCTTTCTGCTCTCTCTCTCTCTCTCTCTGTCGCTTTCGCGGGCTCAGACATCAGAAGTCTGCGATGCACTAGATCTACCATTCTGAGCCTCAAACTTCCTACAGTTATAGAACTATACCTATAATCTATAACTATAATCCATAACTATGATCTATAACTGTAACATACTATAGCATACCATAACTATGACATGTTGCTCCCATGCCCCGGCCTGTCGGACCTTGAGGTTCCGGGCCTCATCCGCCTTGGCTTTGAGCTTCCGCTCCAACTCCGAGATCTTCATGTCCTGGGGGCGGCCGGGGCTTACTTTAAGGGCTCCTAGGAGCTTTCCATCCTAAAGGGTTTAGGGTTTAGGGTTTATAGGGCTTCTAGGAATTTAGGAGCTAAAAGTCGAGGGCCAGCCACATGGCCATGAGTTTATTTGGTGTGTCTCATGAGGGAAGGAGGGAGTCTACCCGCTTACTCGCACAAGCACGGCGAGGTTGATGCCCTCAACCAAGATTCTATCCGTCCCTGCTGTTTCCGTAACAGACAAGAGTCCTTCTGGTGCAACTCGCTTTCGATCAAGACTCCCTGGTCCAATTTGGCCTGCCAGTGCACAGAAACAAGATGCAGGAGACCGTTGTTGTGGACCACAACATGCAATAATGACTACGAGTACGTCACGAGGCGGCTGTGGCTCTGCCATGGGCATCTTAACGAAACCAGCGTCTCAGCACTTCGAACACCAAGCTTCGGCTACCGTCCGAGACTGAAGGCATCTCGGAACCCATGAACCCTTGCAATCCTGTACCCTAAACCGTCACTTTTACAGTAAACTTCGGGGCCCGGAACCCAAAACCCTGGCCCGCGAAATCCGGCAAAACTCGATCGGACGGCTGCCGCCTGGACCTTACGCCGGGCGTCTGCCTCGCGCTCCAAGCGTTGCTCCTGAGATTCCAGTGGGCAACAATGGGGGCTGCTTGACGTTAGGGATATCGTGCTTAGGGATCCTTTTGATGGTAGGGATGCTGGTGAAGGTCTATCTTAGGGTCCCCCATTTCCAGGTGCTTGCCAAACTTATCCCATGTAGGGCTCAGGGCTCAGGGGTTCGGCTGAATCGAGGGGTCAAGGAGTAAAACAGGGAAAAGGCACTCGCAGCTGGGACTCAGCATGCGAGATTGGATCAGGGCTTTCATGTCGTGATGCCGTGCCAACATTGGTCTGAGCAAGGAGTCCCATATTTTGCTTCATGACCGAGTCCACGAGGCAGGGTTACGACGAGTATACTTGGGCGGGTTTACGCTGTAGGGCCGGGAAGGGCCATGGAGTCTTCAGAGCTGCAGGCCAAAGCGTGCGGATGCGTGTGGGCTCATGCAAGGAGTGATCCTTGCCTGTACACGCTCCGGCATGCTCGACTGCCATTGTGCCCATGAAGCTGACAGTTTGAAAGCCTGGTGTTTCAGTCCAAGGCGCCATCTCGATCAAGCGCTCGGTCAGGTGCTGCACCTCTGCAAACAGCGGGGCATCGCACCGCCCCGGTACACAGGTGCCACGTTCAAGAGAACATGTGGGGGTTTCCAAAAATAGGGGACCCTAATATAGTACCCTAAATAATAGGATCCTTATTATAAGGACCCCAAAATAAGGTACCCCTTGTTTTTGGAAACTCCTATGTAAAGCACCGGCCTGCTGAGCTTCGATCTCCCGGTCGTCCATGGCCTGAGGAGAGCTCGGCCCAGGGCAGAATCGGGAAGCTGCCCTTTCCTTGAACATCTTTTCTTTTACTACTATTATTAGTAGTAGTATTTGTATTCTTATTATTAGATTATTATAGTATTATTATTATTAGTATTATTATTATCCCTGCCTTCTCAAGCTCCTTCTTGAGGCAGTCGGTGTCCTCCTTGGCGGCGAGACGACTTTCGAGAACCCGGTTCACCTCCTCCACGATCTTCTTCTCGAGATCAAAGTCCGGGGCCTTCTCGCGCCGCGCGGAGGAGGGCAGGGATCCCTCGGAGTTTCCGCGCTTGACTTGGGCTTGTGGTGTTCCCGTAGGCTCCATCGGCTTCCCGCTCTCACGGCTCTCACGCCTGTAGCGCATGGGGGACATCAGCGGTAGGTGGCAACTTGTCGGCTGCGAGCCGCCATCCACGGCGGACATGCTGCCGGCCCCCTGCAAAGGGACAGAGTCGACCTGCCACTCCAGCCTGCGGCCCATTCCGGGTCTGGCCGTCATGGCCTCGTCGAAAGCCACTGGGGGCTGCGTCTGCTGGGGAATCTGCTTTTCGAAGTAGTTGACATTTTGGGTTGCGACTTGGGCTGGCACCTGAGTCACCGGCATTTGTACCTGAGGTGGTCCCGAATTCCTCTGGTGAATGGGGGACAAGGCCCCAGTACGAGGATCAGGACGGATCTCAGCACAAAGTGCGTTGGTGTATGTCATCCGCGGGGGTGGGCTCTGCGGTCGCATGGGGACTGCTGCGGCCTTCATCGCTTCAATCATCGGCCCCTTGTAGCTGTGCGATCGGGCGGCTTGCTTCAGCCATGGCTGCCAGCTCTGGCTTTGCACTGGATCCATGCGACGGTCCGGCGACACAGCGCTCACCTGCCGGACTGCGGGGCTGCGCGGATACATGGCGCTACCGCTACGCTCGACGAAGGGCCGCCGCTGAGCTGTGGCACAACCTTCAACCGCTTATGCTTGGGCACAGAATGGCAGGTTCATCACTCATGATCACAGGTCCGTAAAGCTCATGCCCCCCCCCCCCCGGTGCCAAAAGACACTTGCAAATTCAGGCACCAGCCTCCTGGCAGCGCAGGGTCGACCTTCGAAAAGCTTGCGATGTCTTTGCCGTCAGGTGTGGGGGCGACTGAAGCCGGGAGTCTGGCTCCTGGTCGCGTCGAGCAGAGCCACCTGGTGCTCAGAACCATCCGATAAAGCTCGAGCTGGTGCTGAACTCCATCGCTGCGTGGCTTGCCTCTGCCCTAACACTTCTAAATTCGAACGGGGTCATTCCCATCCTTTGGTCCTCCAAACCTTTGCCCAACGGTTCCCGTCGGACCTCCACTAGTGGAGATGACTGCTTGTGCGTGGTGAAGTGCCTGCATCGATTCAGGGAAAATGGAGTTGACAATGCAACCAGACAAACGTACACGGACACATGCACAACTGCACCCGTGTAGAATTATCGGCATTGTCTGGTTAAATGGAAGCTCCATCAATAAACACCCAAACGAAAGTCTAAATCAAGTCATCTTCCTGGGTTTTCGTGTGCCATGATTTCATAGCTGCTAGGAGTCTCCGAACTTGCCCGTCACCTCTTTCACATCTTTGGGCACCAGTCGTTGCAGCCTCGACAAGGCAAAGCTCTTCGGACTACGTAGGAACCTGGCTAAGAAAGCCCTGGGTCGGGTTTGGGTTCGGGGTTTCTTGCTCTTCTTGAGTTCACCGTCACGAAGCAGCTCAGCAACCGGCTTCTTGAACATGGGACGATCGAACAGGGGACTTGCTGGCTCTAAAGAGAGCTAAACAGTTGGAACCGTGTTCGGTGGTTGGTGACTTCTGCTTGGCAAGTTCAGACTGCTTCAGCCTTGTGTATGCCTGATGAATCCGGCTGCCATGCAAGAGTGTGCATCTTGAGAATAAGCTGCAGAAAACGTCTTCGTCTGCCAGTGGGTGTGGCTCGCAGTGCAGGGCATTCTGATGATCGCGTAGATTCACAAAAACTCCGCTTGCAAGAAGGCAACCGACTTTGCACCGTTTCTCGCTTCGTGAAGGCATCACCCCACGCCTTCTGTGCCAGCATATGACAGGAGGTAAAGTTACCCTACATCCTGATGGGGCTGTAACCAGGCCTGAAAGAATTGAAAACAGTACGTGCTGCATCCACCCAGCGAGTCTTGTACCTCCGCTACAGTTGGCACGGAGTGAAACCTGGAAGCTGCTGTACAAGAGCATGCGGGAAGCTGCAAAACAAACTGCATCTACGCCACCACGAGCGTGGAATCGGAAATTTTGCAAATCGTCCTGCATGCTTAGCCGTGCCTACATGGCTCCTACTGCTGTTGCGCTACGTCAAATCGTAGATCCCCTTGTCATCGTCGACGTCCTCTATGTCATCGTTGTCATCGCATATTAGCCGTGGGGCTCGCTTGAGCAGCGGTTCCTGTGAACAGCCACCCAAGGGCACCTCGCCGGCGGGCAAAGGCTCTCGTGCATGACCCTCTCATACCCTCTATATAAAGCCTCAGCCCGTGAGCATCAACCTCTCGATGTGGGTCGGTTCCGCAGCTAATTCCATAAGAACTATACATTCATAGTCATACTATGTTATACTGTTGGGAACACCAGAGCCATAGTACGATTATTCCTAATAGTGGTAATAGTACCGACGATATGGATGATCACGATGATGACAATGTTGGCGATATGTGCACAAAACCTTGTGGAAACACATTAGAAGTCGGATGGCCTGGAAGCTGCCATTCGGTCTCAAAGAAGCAACTGTTGAGTTGCGCCGGTCTGTCCTGTCAATATGCGACCAGCTTAGGGTTTTTTGCCTCCTGTTGCGGCCTTAGGGCTTAAAACCAGGGGGAAGGAACATCAAAAGGACACTTAGCAAGGGAAGGCACAGAATGTTGATGTCACTGCTCTGGCTCAGTGATTCTCTACCTCGTGTGTTGTCAAGTTATCACTCTTTGCATGCCGCTGCTTCCATTTTGTGCACGGTTGTGTCGCTTCCTCTTCTGTTTCTATGCCTTCCTCTACTGCCAGACCTGAAGCAAAAGCGCCTGAATGGACTTGCATTTGCAAATTACTCCTAAACTGTCAGAGTCCCGGGGCTGGCAACAACGGTACATCATGGTACCTATGGTTGATGATACAAATCCTGCACTTCCCATAATACATAACAAGGAATATGCCGTGGTTCCCATATGCAGGATTCATATCATCAACAGTGTGGTACTCAGGATCAAGGGACTCTGCCCTAGTTTGGGGCCCTGGGCCGGAAGCGCTCTGCACTTTCAGCATCAACGCAAGACCGCAAGACCCTAAGCCACCATGAGCCCTAAACAAGAAAGCCCAATCCGAGCCCGAAAAAAAAACTGAACCCCATCATAAGCCCTTCTAGAACGTCTAGTGATTCTAGTCGCCTTATATTCCCTGCTAGAACCTCTAGTGATTCTAGTAGCCTTACATTTGGCCCTTGGGATGTGGGAGGCCTCCGCTGTGGCAGCCCGGCGGGAGCGGAGGAGCCTTCAGTCAAAAGTTTTTTGTTTTCTGCACCATGCTGCCCTTTAGGGTTTTAGGGTTTAGGGTTTAGGGTTTAGGGCCTATAAACCCTAGACCCTTTTTTTTGAACCCAGTCTCTGATCATCAGCTGGGAAAGCCTAAACCCTAAAACCTAAACCCTAATTGTTCTGGGTCGGGGGTTAGGGTCGACGGTCTGGTGACTAATGTAGGGGCCTAAAAAATTACCAATACCAGTTTGGGGGGCTTCCTTATTATGGTTATAGTATAATAGGCCCCAAAACCCTATTCATTAAAGCCCCTATACTAGGCTCTCACAAGTTTCACTTGTTTGCGGGTTTGGTTTGTGCCCTCGCAACTCGGACAAGCCAGACGAGGTCTCAAGGGTTTGGGGTGGCGACGGCGACGGCGGCCCGCCGCATGCCGGTATCGATGCAAAATGACTGGATACACAAAGACGGAGAGACAGACAGAAAGTAGACAGACAGGTTCGATCGATAGACAGATTCGAAATATTGAATAGCTGAGGAAACTATTCCCATCTTACCTCACAAGCCAACCTATGAAGGCAGGCCGACGCAGAAAGCAGCCCACCTCTACTTTCCAAATATTGCTGGGTGCAAGGTGGACATTCGCGTTAAAGATCCTGCTCACATGCTTCGGGGTGTTGAAGCATACAGAACGGAAGGCCGGCCAACACAACCGAGAACACAGCGCTGATCTGGGAAGCATCGGTTACGAGGCCCAGGCAGGATCGACGGACAGGGTCAGCCGCCTCTACAACTTCGGGGTGATATGGGACTATCTGAAGCTGAAGGGAAATTCCAGAGTCTGCGAAATGTGAGAGACAACACTGATCTCAAGCCACAGGTTTCTGCAATCTGAGACCAAGTGGCTGCATCCCGTTCCGTAGCCCGTGGTTCCCAGCACTTCCGGTAGATCGTCCGGCCTTAACAGCTCCCTGGCCGTGTTGCCAATCGAGTTTGACCTTGCGTGCTTTACGAATGAAAAGAACCAACACAGTAGATGAGACTTGCATGGTGCAAGTTACGTCATTCCAACAGCGAAGGCAGCACATTGAGGCTGTTTATAAGCTGCGGGCCCAATTGACGCATCCCATCTGCAAAGCAGTCGTGGCACAAGCTCTGACTCTGGCATCAGCTGGAAAAAGCGACCATCTCTCGACAAGCTCAGTCGGTGCAGATTGGTGTGCAAAGAACAGATGCGCGCTGATGCTGCGACTCTGCTGGGGACATCCCCGCTTACGATGTTCGGTCGTCGCTCACTCTTCACGTAGCAAACGTAGCGTTTCTTTCAGTGCACATTTGTTGTTTGCTTCTTTCTCTGACTCTGTCTTGCTGGGTGCATGCATCTCTTTTTTTCACCTCTTTTAATCCCACAGAGTCTATGGTTGGAAGGCCAGCTTGACGTGCGTGCATCTCTGTGCTCTTGTATATATGCAAACTGTACTGTACTTCCACCCACACCCCAACAAAAGTGGGAGGAGAGAGAGGTAGAGAAAGAGAGAGAGAGGCGTCTTGGTGGTCGTGGCTAGGGTAGGCGGCAGGGGTGTCAGTGGTCGTCGTTGTCGTCGCCATGGTAGTGGTAGTAGTAGTCGTCGTCGTCGTAGTAGTAGTAGTAGCAGTAGCAGTAGCAGTAGCAGTAGCAGTAGCAGTAGCAGTTGCTGTTGTTGTTGTTGTTGTTGTCGTCGGTGGCGTCGTCGGCGTCGCAGTAGCAGTAGCCGTAGCACTAGCAGCAGCAGCAGCAGTAGTAGTAGGTGGTAGTGGTAGTGGTAGCGGTAGTAAGGCTTAGTAGGCGCAGCAAGTAGATCCAGCAACGGAGAGAGTCACGGGCTGGAATCGGATGGACATGACGAATCAAGACAGCATGGGATGTAGGGTGTATATAGAACTACTAGTCTCCCCATACCAAAACACTCAAGTAGACAAGCTCCTAAGGAGCCTGTGCACTGATCAAATTCTAAAATACACCATGCGAGCACTTCATGTCAGAGGAGGGATGCAAATGTACCGGGCACTCCTCAAGCAGTGAAATCTGAGTAGCTCTGGCGTGTGAGCATACAGTCAAGCCTAAACAAGCATGGGACTTGGGTGCCTTGTGCTTGTAAAGCACCGGCTTCTCATAGCGCTGCCGCTGGTCCATGACCCATGCGAAAACCCGCGGGTACTGAACGATTCCGAGATCCTGACAGGACTCTGATTTCTGATCCGTCTACACGACGCTCAAGAGCGCTCCTCGATGCAGTGCTTCGTCAAATTCTCCGGCCGACCAATGAAATTGCGCCTCTCCGACTACCCAGGTCGGAGTCTCGTCTGATTTGTGTTCGCACTCCCCATGTCGCCTGTCGTCCTCGCTGTCACTCCACGGTACCAGCTTGCCATCTTCAAACCTGCCCACCTGCAGAGCGACGGGAATCAAGCAGGAGAGAGAATGGTATGTTCGTGATGAGTAATTACCTTGGGGTGCTCACATGCCTGTCATGCCTTCTGCCAGCCCCTGCACGAATCGGCCTGCAGGCAGGCCACGAAGGTGACCTTGTCAGCCCAAGGCTCCAGCGGTTTGGGTGCTGCACAAAGTCTTTCTGCTGGTTTGAGTGTGACGGTCACACCCATGCCACCCTTCTGCGAATCTCCGCCAGGAATCACATAGAAAAGCAAAAACTAAACCGCGAGTGGAAAGCCGGGCCCAGTTCCTCCCCGACCAGCTGGGAAGATTTCGACTGCGCAATGCAGACTCGACCTGCGAGACCCTTGCTGTTGCTGCTGCTATTGCTGTAGCAAGCATCGTTGCTACGGCTATGGCCGTTGCTTCTGCCTTCTTGTTAATATGTTGCAAAGCCCGTAGTGTTGGTGTGCGTGGTGGTGGTTACATCCGTTATTATTGTTGTTATCTTTGTTCCGGGTCTGTTGTGATGCTTTTGAGTTCTTGAGAAGCCTCAAAACTTTCAATATAGATTCATATAGAATCCATAGAAATAATGTGACATAGTCACTATGCATTGTTTTCTGCCTACATCTTTTGAAGCGACCCAACACGCATGGCAACCTCAACCGAAAAAATCCACCACAACAACAACCACCATCAGCACAGAACCTCTACACTTTCAGAACATAAAATCATGCCGTAGAATCTATAGAAACACTGTGACATAGTCACTATGCATTGTTTTTTGCCTACATCGTTTGAAACGACCCAAGAATCTTTGAAACCTCAACCGAAAAGTTACACCACAACAGCAACCATCATCAGCACCGCCAGCAGAAGCAGCAGCAGCAGCAGCCCACCGCCACCACCACCACCACCACCACCACCGCCACTACCAAAACAAACAGCAACAGCCGCAGAAAATCACGACCAGCACGACCAGCAGAACCACAACTACAACGACGACGACTAACACGACACAAGATTAACAGCATTGGCGACAACAGAATATAATGATGATCTCATCACGAGAAGAAGAACAAGTACTGACAGCAGGGGTGATATCAAACTGTAACAGCAGTCGCAACAAACTCGAAGAAGTACCTCAGCCCATCGGGGTTTTAGCACAGCCTCGCTTATGAAGCGCAGATCCACGGATCTCCCATGTCTGCACCGGGAAGGCTTTCATGAACATTCGGGATTGGGGTCTCTGAGATGGTCGATTAAACGTATTTTTGCGTGTCCGCCATCTTGAAATTCTATGATTCTATAAGGCTTCGGAGGGTTTTAAGGGTTCGACAAGGCTTTCGATAGTGTTGTACAGGAGTGTTGGAGTTGCCTCACATCACATTGGGGTACTGCTGCTTACAGGCTTTACATTTTGGCCTTTCAGTTGTCTGTGATTCTGAAGCTTCCATGTCCAGCTTGTAAAGGATCGGGGTTTCTGGCTTGTGGGTTCCGGAATTAGGGCTCTGGGACTCAGAGTCAAGGTTTTCGGCATTTCTTGGTTTGGGCATTGAGTATTTAGGGCAAGAGCCTGTTTTGAGGGCCTAGCATTCCGCGCTATTAAACTAAGTCGGCACGGCGAAACTAGATGCCGCAGGACATCGTGTCAGACGTGCTCGCAACTAGCAAGAAGACAAGCAACCGCAGGCTTAGAGGCAACAACTTGGGGAGTAGCGCTAACCGGATACATCATTTGCCAAAACCGTTTGCCAATAGCAGACAGCTTGAGAGTACTAGGGGTCCCATTTTTGGGGGCTCTTTTCATCTCACCCAAGCAACCCAAGTGGGCCTTGGTACTATCGAAGATCTTGTCGCACCACTGCTTCTTGATGCGGAGCGCCGCAGACTGAGTCGCACAGGACTCAAACAGGACCATGCCGGTGCAGGGCCTCGGGCACCCTTTCCACATCTTGGCTCTCTGAAGTTCTGCCAGACTCTACATCATAACTAAAAACAATATCCCTTTAAGCCTCTAATTATGTAGTTGCACCATTTTTAAACCCTAGAATCTAGGCACTAGACCCGATTCTACCCCAAAATCCCCAACTGAGGTGCAAGGAGGCCGGCAGTTCATCTGGGAAGCGCGCCGGGCGATGCCTCACGTCCGGGTTCGCCTGCTGAAGCCGGGATAATGATAGGGTCGAAGATTCGGGTCTACACTCTAAAATGTCGGACGAGTCAGGCGAGATCTCTGTGTGCGTAGGTCGGAACGTGAAACTTCCCTTTCGACTTACCACATGGCCAACAAAGTTTAAGGTGTTTTTGTCTCCCACTTAGCTTGCATGTGCAGGGTGGTCTTGGTTAGTTGAGTGGGATAAGGATGAGGTGTAGGGTTTAAGGGCAGTTGCTGAGCGCCGACATCTTCCTGTAGAGGTGACAGGTCCCGCCACGCAGAGAGCATTTAGAATAAAGATCACCAGCACCAAGCTGCGGAGTTCAAATTTATCGCAGTCGATAGTAACCCTTAACATCATTTTGACAGCAAGCTCACCTGAGCCCTGACTCCCAAAGACCCAAAGCATCACATTGGGATCTGAGCCTGCGCGAGCCCAGCAGAGACCGGCAGGTACGACTTTCTCGCATTCCTCAGTTTGGGAGCAGCAATAAGCCGGGAGTTCTGTTTCAAACATCTTAAAACTTGCGTTGCTGCACATGGTCCTTGTCGGGTCGAGATGCTTCAGTGCAAAAGGCTTCCACGTTAGTTCATGCCAACTCCTGGATATCTTCCATCGGAGCTCTTGCAACCAAGCAGCAGTGAGAGTGAACGTCGGAAGGATTCCTCGGCAGTCAAAGCAGTTTCATAGACCTCATAGCACACGCTTTGGACCGCGGTAGCTGCCACATTTGCAGGTGCCGAGACTGTGTGTTTTTTGCATTGCGTTGGACATGTTGGACTGCATATTGCAGATTTGCTGCTGGATGGTTGCTAATGGCACCGCATGCAACAGCTTGGAGCCTGAGTGTTGCACCTTTGCCGCAGGAGGACATCTCGACGAATGCCTCGAAAACGGAAGCAAGCCGAGGCGTCGAAATTGAAAGCTCTCCGATCTTGGTCACCATCTCTATCACGGGGGGCCGGTGATGATGTGGGGCGGGGGGGGTGTATAGGTTGTATCTTTGTGCACTGTCCAGGTGCAAACAAGCAGGAAGATACACTGACGCTGCTCAAACAGAGATGCACAATGATCATCCAACAGCTTATCCATTTACAGGCCGTCTGCTGATGACTAACATCTAACAGAATATTCAAAGACACGTCAGCCTGAACCACTCCCAATGGATCCAAAAAGTATGTTTGGGCATATTTCGGGTCGGATAGGTCGGACCCAATAAGGATTGGACTCCGCTATTGTAAGGCTTTGTTGTGGAGCACGCCACTGCTCCTGGTACTTTCTCCTAAAAAATTCTCTCTCTCTCTCTCTCTCTCTCTCTCTCTCTCTCTCTCTCGCGGACTCAGAGGTCTGTCAGCCGCGCGGCCGTCTAAAAAACTATAAGCTTTAAAATAGATCCGTCTGCCAAAACCAACCCCGAACAGATCCTGACTTGCCGTAAATGTGGGCCCTCAGAAGCCCAGCCCCGCTTACATCGAGGCTTGGGCGCAGAGAGCCTCGGCACTTTCTTTTCCTTCCTGTCCCCTTCTGCCACAGCTGGGGGCCTCAGGGCTTCGGCGGGCTTCCATTCAAGGATCGATAGTCACGGTTTCGACTCTCACACTGGCACAAGGCCGGCTGGTCACGGTTTAGGGTTTAGGGGTTTAGGGGTTTACACTCTCACAACTCGGACAAGCCAGGCGAGGATCCATAGGTGCATGAGTCGGCGTGACACTGTAAGCTGCCCATGCATGCTACTATCCAAAACTAAAACCATAGAATTACAAGTAAACTCAGCATACA